CCCCCCTCTCATTAAGACAAGACCTAGAGAGAAAATTAGAGAGAAAAACTTGCTGAGAATTTTACAAGAAGAAAGTTGTTCATCTTGGGTACAAATTATAAGTTATTTTTCTTTGTAGGGATTAACTTGAGGCTTGTTCAAGTAATCAAAACACATTGATCTTCATATATTCCATTGAAATCATTTCTTCCTCATTTTCTTTTTCTTCAAGTGTTTTGAAAATTTTCACTTTGTCAACTTGTTTGATCTTTTGGGCTATCTTTGGGAGGTGTTTTCCCAACAAACTGATTTTTTCTTCTTTAATACAGTCGATTGCGGTCTATTTAGTGTTACAAAATTCTTGAATGAGAGTATACTTCATTGATAATTGTTTGGTCATTACTCTGGGAATTCATTTTCCTGCAGAATTATCCTTTACAGCTTCTTAGCCCATGTTTGGCTTGTTTATAAACACTAAATGCTATTTATCCTAACTGGGAATGATCCGCAAGTGATGTGACAGGTGATGAAGCATTAAATAATTAGGTCAATAAAGTGGGTCGAATATCCATACATTTCATTGACCTTGTCACTCATCACATGCCACATCACTTGGGAATCAGATAAATAACATGATTTTTTTATTATAATGTTGATAAATATTCGTAAGTTCTATACTTGGATATTCGTGCATTTAATTAACTTTATTATTTCCTGTCTCATTAATTGGCACATTGCATGAGGTCCTCCATTGGGATAAATAACATTATATTATATTCTCCTTATCATTTCATGCCTTATCACTTGCCACATCACATGAGATCATCTACGGTAGGAATAAACAGTATTATTCTTTATGATAATCTCAATCAACATTCCTAAGTTTTACATCTGTATATTTCACAGCTACCCGGACGAAGAAGCTGGTCAAGTACCATTGGCCTGTGTAGTGCGACGTCCCCAGAGTACCCTTGACGAAGCACTAGTTTTTGATTTTATCTCAAAGCAGGTATTTTTCTCATAAATTTTGAGCAATTTGGTTGTTAGACTTGAGGGAAAGCTTTTTGTTGCCATATAACTATCATTTACTAACGACGTTCATAAACATTTTCTTGAAAGTACAAAAATCGATCGATCTGTTCACAAATTCTTATATTAAATTGCTCAATAAATCTGTGACTGAATTGGGTTTTAGGTTGCTCCATACAAAAAGGTACGACGAGTCGTATTTATTAGCTCGATACCTAAGAGCCCAGCTGGGAAAATATTGAGAAAGGAATTAAGAAGGATTTTGCTGCCAGAGTCTAAGCTGTGATAGGAATGTGTTCTTTTCAATGTCAGCTGTGCATTATTACAACGGGGAGGACATAATTCTCCGGTTATTTAAATGCAATGTGTTCATCGGAGATTGCAGAATCTTCACCAACAGATAAGAAACGCAGATATGATGCATACTGAGGATTCAGCGTTGCAATCCCCATCTAAATTGTGTAATAATGTCTTATAAGGGAACCTCCAAGTATGTATGAATCAATCAAAAGTGTTGTGTGAAATCTTCAGTCTATTTCGAATAAGCCCTGAAAGGAGAATCATTACCAATTTGTAAAAAAATTAAAAATGTTAGTAATTCTATTGAAGCCAAAATTTACTATGAATTGCGATTATTCAATAAAAACCAATTGGGAATGCTACTGGACAGTCTTGCATCATAGCCATGTTCTACCGTTCGCAAAGATGGGGAAAAAAACCGCTTCTTTTGGCTTTAAAGTAAAAGCCAATCATGCTTTTGATACTTATAAGCTCACATTTCATTTGGCTGTTCTTAAGTTGGTTTTCTAAGCAAAAACACATATTAAACAATATTAAGAAAGAAATATAAGTTGAAATCAACTGTAATGTTTAGACATGTCCAGCACTAGCATACCCTTAAAGCCCCTATAAACTGTCCCTTTTTCTGCACGGAAGGCAGAATTTGATAATTTCTTCTTCATGATTTGACCCTAACACATAAGAAGACGTATTCGTCCACCCTTCCAAAACAAAAGGATACCGAAAATAGTTCCTTCTAGTCGAAATTCATAGATTAGCTAGGATGGGTATTCCACAATATATTTCATATGGTGAATTTGGACGAAGGAACTGAGTCGAAATCGTCAAAGTCAAATCTCTGTCGCTCTTTTCCAGCCTGGATATTTATAGACCAAAAAAGAATATAGTTACCAATACAATTTGAGAACACCAACTAGTTCGGGAGGAGTTTTAGACTCGCCTTTGCTAAGTACAAAGGGTCACATGAAAGTTGTTCGTCCATATCTGTTAGCTTCCTAGACAGCATCATTATCCTGAAACAAAATTCAAGAGCAACGTCAGTACTATCTACGCAAAATATTCTTTTTTCCCAATATGTTTAAATAAGTTATTTTTTCTCCATTACTTTTAAGTAAAAAAATTACTTGATTAAAAAGCAATTCTAACTCTCAAAATAACTTTACTTATTT